CCCAGAGCGACCCCCCCTTTCTCCCCCAAGACCACCGTGGGCTCTCTCCTGCCCGGCCCCAGCCCCCCACGCGGGGGGGAGGGGGGGCCGTGCGTGGCTGATGGATGGTGGTGGCGCGAGCCGGGCTGCGAAGGGCTGGGCGAGCAGAGCACCGGGGGCCCGGGAGAGAGCGACGTTTCTGCGCAGCCCCCCGCGCCCACGGGCGTGAATTATTGACAGGCTTTTAATTGCAGCCCCCACGTGCCGGCAGGCACGCACGCCCGCCCGGCCGCACGTGCCTGGCCGTGCTCACACACGGGTGCACACGCAGGCCCCGCGGGCACCCCGGCAGCAGGCAGGCCCCCCCGCCCCGGCCCAGTTCTCTGCCCGCGGCCGCACCTGGGGCCAGGCAGAGCCACCCCCGACGCCGCTCTCGGCACACGTGCCAGGGTCCCGGGTCGCGGCGAGCTCGGGGCACCCCCAGCTGAGAGCAGCAGTGGGGGCGCAGCTGGCCGCCGGGGGGTGGAGAGGGCAGGGCAGCTTGAAATCAGTGCTCGGGGGCGAGGGAGCCAGCACCCCCCTCCTGGCATGGCGCTCGGGCGAGACTCACCGAAGCCTCCTTCGTCCTCTCCTCCTCGGCGGCCACCCTGGCCACCTTGGAGATGATGGGGGCCACGTTGGTGGGGCCGTAGAGCTGGATCTTGGGCAGGCAGTTTTGGTACGACTCCACCACGCCCTGGATGCCTGGCAGGGGGGCATGGCCGGTGAGGCACGGCGGCCCCCCGTCCCTGTCCCCCGCCTGCAGAGTCTGGGCCCTCGCCTCTCACCTTCGCACTCGTCATCGTCCGGGTTGAAGTTGATGGCGAAATCGTGCGACACCTGCGAGGGGCAGAGAGAAGCGGGACTCGGCACCCGCAGCACAGCGGGCCGCACCACCTGCGTTGGCCCTCCCCCGGGCGCGGGGGTCCCCGATCGGGGCTGGGGGCTCCGCTTGTGCCTGCCCGGGCGGCTGCAGAAGCAGGAGGCACCTCCCGCACCCGCTTCGCAGCCCCACGGCTCGTCCTGGCCCTCCCTGCCCCTCACCTCGTACTTGGGGGGGATCCTGGCGCCGAAGCCCAAGGCGGAGAACTTCTTGTCGCTGGAAAGGAGCAGAGGTCAGAGCCAGCCGGGAGCCCCCCCGGCGCTGAGGGGAGGCTGGACCCGGGCGGGTCGGACAGGCGGACGGATGGATGAGCCGGCCTCACCTGTCGTAGTCCTGGCAGATCTCGCCCACGGCGACCAGGGCCTTCAGGTACTCGTTGGGCTGGTAGGGGTTGATGTAGTGCAGGGAGCAGCTGTTGCGGGGGTCCCCGTTGGAGGCCGTGAAGTCGATGGCCACCTGGGGTGGGAGGCGCGGGGTCAGCGGTGTACGTCATCCACCCCCTGCGCTGATGGAGCTGCACAGGCCCCTGGGGGAGAGCAGAGGAGCCCCCCGGCTCCCGCACGCTGGAGCCAAGTCCCGGCCTGCTGCGCACCCCGAGCGCAAAGCCAAGGGCGGAGGATGCTCGTGGGACCAGTTGCACGCGTGCCCCCATGTAGCAGGGCCAAGCAGAAACACCAGGGCTGAGGCCTTGATGGGAGGCACGTGGGTCTGCGGGAAGCAGGACAAGCCCCAGGGCGCGAGGCCAAGGGCGCGTGAGGACAAGTGGGGAAGCTCGAGTGAGACCTTTCGGGCTGAGGGCTGGCAGGAGAAGGCCTGGGATTGCAAACTCTCCCACGCTCCATCCCAGCTGTGCAAATGCCTCAAAGCCAGCCCCAAGCAATGCACCGCCCCCCCAGCTTCAGCCTGCAGGGAAGACCCTGCATCCAAGGCTGGGCACGCTGGGCAGACGCGGGGGCCTCCATGTGCAGCTGTGCACAATCCTGCTGGCTGCCTTGGCCGGGTGCTGCCTGCATTTGCAGCTGAGCTACTGGGCCAAGCGCACCCTAACTGCACACCGTGAGTGCTTGCAGCCGGCTGATGAACAAAGGTAGCCGGAGCGGGCCGGAGAACAGCAGTGCCGGCCACGTGACGGGCAGCTGCATCCTTGCCGACAGCCAGCCGCCCGTGGAAAGCCTGGTGGAGACGTCCTGGCACTGCAGGGGGAAGCACCCCCACCGCTGCCCCTGTGGGGGGGACACCCCGGGACAGCCAGCCTAGCGGCTCCCCGGTGCAGGCTGGGCAAGACCCTCAATGCCAGGACTTTTCCAACGTGATGGATTTTGCCTTGGTGCAATCCCACGGCATCTCCACCACGGGCTGGCCACAGCGCCCAGAGATTGCCTCACTGCTCTGCACTTCCCATCAGCGCAGGCGTCGCCGGCACCGGATGCCAGCATCGCGTCTCAGCCTGGTGCCACGGCTGCGCCCGGGTGCGCTGGTGCCCCACAGATCTTTCCTTTCGAGCCAGACTCAGACCCACGGGTGCCAGGCGGCTCTCGGCCCCTTCCCCATCCTGGGAGCCCCGCACTGCTCGTGGCAGCCGGGACTCGGGACCTGCGCCAGCCGGGGCGACGCGACTTACTGTGAAGTGGATCTGGCAGCCGCCCATAATGTAGTCCAGGAAGGAGTAGACCCTGTGGATCTGCCAGACAAACACCGCGTCAGCCAGCACGGTGGGGACCTACCCCCGCTGGCTGGTCCCTCGTGGCCAGTGAGCCCGGCATGGCCAGCTCAGCCGCATGGGGTGAGCCGGGCACGGCTAGGGGCTCGGTTACCACCGAGGACCAGGGGGAAGGGGGTGGGTCTGTCGCAGCCGCGGAGCCAGGCCAGGCGTGCCGGAGATGCTCTCCAAGCAGGCACATGCTCCAGCAAAGCCCGGGGCAGCCCCACGACTGTCCCCGTAGCACAAGGCTGCTGGGCGGCTGCACCCTCTGGCATCCCCCGAAGCCCGGGCCAGGCCTGGCCCCTCTCACCTTCAGATCCAGCAAGATGACGACGCCCGAGTTCTTGTAGTTGCGCTTCTTGATTTTGTACTTGGGGTTCATGCAGTCCCACTGCACCTGCGGCCGGCGGAGGGGGCATCAGCCGGGCACGACCCCAGCCTCGGCGGGCCGCAGCCTCCCTGCGCCCGGCCCTGGGGAGCAGCGAGCACGGGTGCAGGGAGCGCATCTCGCACAAACCCCGATGGATCCACCATCCCCCCATTAGACAACCCCCGAAAAGCTGGGGGGGGAAGGGGCAGTTCCTCTCATCCTCCCCTCTCCCAGTTTCCATGTTGCTATAAGTGGGCAGGAGGAGGGAGAATGGGGGGAACGAGGCAGAAAGCCCCCCGAGCAATGGGGCACGGCCCCGGGCACGCAGCATGCAAAGGGGGACCTTGCCCACCAGCGCCCCCGGCCCCAGCCCAGACCTTGTTCCCCCCCGTGGCTTTCTGCATCTCCTCGAAGGTGGTGAAGAACTCGCCGATGAAGTCGTGCTTGCCCCGGGTGTCGTAGTCCCAGACCACGCACTGCAGGGACAGCAAGAGGTGGCTGCACCGGGGCCTGGGCTGGACACAGCGGGGCAGCTCGTAGACCCCAGGCCCCCATGCGCGCTCACCCGCAGCCTCCTCTTGTCCTCGCAGCTGCACAGCGAGTTCAGCGAGACCTTGAAGGGCTCCCACACGGGGCTCAGGTTGTTCTTCACCACCTGCGGGGGCAAGGAGAGCCCCAGGAAGGGGTCAGCCCACGTCAGGGCAACCCCGCGCCCCACCACGCCTCTCTCCCGGAGGGATGG